TACATGTATACACATAGATATTATACATTAATATTGATATAATGTAGATATGTGTCATATACTGGAGGTTAGAGATGAACAGAGAGCAGCTGATGACTTTTCTTTAGCCTCCATTGTGTCAAACCTAATCCAGTCATTCTCTGACATTTCTTATCACTCTTTTAAATTCTTCAACGTCATCCTGTTGATATTTGATTCTCACGTTGCTGTTAAAAAACTCCGTCATTGAACTTCCAGCAGGCACCAGAAAAAAAGCCAGCAAAAGACTACGACGCCCTGTTTGATGACGATGATGATGATAGAGTCATGGATGAAGGACTGAGCGACACCAATTCGCCCGTTAAGAAACCCGTCGCTGGGGACGACGACGATGACGATGATTTCCTCATGCCTGCAACGGGGCGGGTGAGGAACAGAGGGGCGATCCTGGATGACGAGAACTCTCTGGGTGAGTCAGGGGACGGGAATGGTTTGATACAGATGGTGATTAATTAAAGTAAAAAAAACAACATGAAGTCTGTTATTACGGTGTTTGGCCACCACAAACTTTAGTCGTTTAGTCTATAAAATGCAAAAGAATTATTAAAAATGCTCAATTTCTCAGAGTCAAAGTATTCCAACCAACACAGACTCTTCATTTACTGTCAAATATTCACATTTAAGAAGCTGGAACCAGCAAATGTTTGACATTTTAATTGATTATTAAAATATGTGACAGTTAATTTTCTCTCTGAATCTAAGCTGATAGTTACAGTTATTTTCATTATTGATCAATCTGACAGGGATTTTCTGGATTAATTGTTTAGAAAATCCTGAGAAATGCTCATCACAATACTCCAGAAACCCGAGGTGACATCTTTTTAGATGTCTTATTTGTTGTCCAACCAACTGAAGATATTCAAATTCAGAAAATCTTTACAAATGATGAGCTGGAGCTTGATCATATTTCATATTTTTACTTAAAAAATGAGGCAGCTCTTCTCTCAGCGAGTGGTATGTTTAGTGTTTTGTAATCATGCTCTGGTTGTGAGCAGCACATAAAAAGCTCTAGTTAAAGAAATTAAGATTATTTTATATTATATATTAACATTATTTCCACTTTTTGGTAGAACATTTAAAAAATAATTACATGACTTAATGGTTTGGATGTGGATACAGCAACGCTCCAAGCATTACATTTTCAAATTAAACCTGTAGATAAGTTTATGTGACTGCAGTCCATTTTATGCTCCTTTTACTCTTTCAGCGCTGCAGCTCATGATTATTTGTTATTCATGGATAAATCAGAAAATAATGAAATATGCCAATAAAACCAAAGCCCCAAACGGTTGAAATTTCGAGCAAGGAAGTCGTGTAAATGGCTTAAATGATTAACAGATTATCAAAATTTATTTTCTGTTAATAGATTTAGCACTTTTGTTCATGAAGTTAATCTCATCAGAAGGAAAATGAAAATCCGTCTGCCAACAATTCTCTCCTGTTGAACTTTTCTCAGTAGACAAGCTTGTTAGGTAGTTAGTTAATTATTCTTGGTAGGAAACAGAAACTAAAATGTCTCTTGACTCGTCGTATGTCACAGTCTGACTGCATGATTCAGATTAAATGGAGGATAAGTGGATTTTTGTGTTTTCTATTCACTAAAAATGACTCCATCTCTGCACATGCGTCTCCATTCAGACACCGGGTCGCTGCGGCTCGGTCAGGACAAATTCGGGGACGATGACGACGACGCGGGTAGCGCCGTAATGCCTGCAGCCGCCCCGCTGGTTCCTCTGCGTCCCGTTTACGAGGGACCTCTACCGTCTGCTCCCCAGAAAGCCTTCCAGCCCGGCTCCACCCCGGCACACCTCACACACCGCTTTATGGTAGCACTCACAGACTAGAATCATTTTTATTTGTGATAAATCACCTCTAAGACAAATTAAACTTAATTTTGAACTGAAGATTTCCAGTCACATGTTGTAACGACCTAATTGTGCCTCAGATGTGGAACTCGGTGGGAATAGTGCGAGGCTACAATGACGAGCAGGACAACGCCATCGACGTGGAGTTTCACGACACGGCCGTGCACCACGCCATGCACCTCACCAACTCGCTGGGTCACACCATGGCTGATCTTTCCCAGGAGGCCGTGCTGCTGGCCTGCCCCAGCACGGACGAGCTCGCCAGGTAAACCTCCTATCATCTTTTATTTTATTGTTTTTGTTTATTCATTCAGTAAACGTTAGACCCCATCTCCTCTTCTCCTCCCAGTAAGCTTCAGTGCCTCCACTTCTCGTCCTGGGACACCAATAAGGAGTGGATGGTGGACCTGCCGAAGGGCGAGGACGCCAGGGCGCTGTGTCTGGGTCAGGGCTGGGTGGCGGTCGCCACCAGCACGCTGACGCTCAGACTGTTTTCCATTGGTGGACTCCAGAGGGAAATCTTCAGCCTACCGGGGCCCGTGGTCTGCATGGTCGGACACGGAGAGCAGCTGCTGATCATCTATCATCGGGGTAACACACACACTGATATACGTTCACACACACGCTCTGTATTGCTGTGTTGAGGGGTGCAGAATAAAGGTTCTCACATCTAATTAATTTTACTGAATTACAACAAAAGCTCTTAAATTTAAATTTGTCTGGATACTTTTCCTTTAATTCACACCAGAAGAGTCACATCCAACCAGTCTCCACCAACTGCACTAAAAGCAGTAGAGATCCTAATACATTATAGTAAATGACCTAATCCTCTTATACAGTATAGACACTGCAGACTGTACTGAAGCATCACTCCTCCGAGCTTTGACGAGGCCTTTCATTGGTGCATGTGTCTTATTTTCCGTCATCAGCTACAGGTTTTGATGGGGAACAGGCTCTGGGAGTCCAGCTGCTGCAGTTCGGTCGAAGGAAGAGGCAGCTCATCAACGGCGAACCCCTCCCTCTGTCTCTCAAATCCTACCTGTCCTGGCTCGGATTCACTGCAGAGGGTCAGTCTGTCAGGAACCTTGTTTATACACATTAAATCAGTGGAAGCAAACAGTCTTAACGGAAGTAGCATCTTCTTCAGACTAAACCCTCCTCTTTTCCTCTTTCAGGCACCCCATGTTATGTGGATTCGGAGGGCGTAGTCCGGATGCTGAACCGCTCCCTGGGAAACACATGGACACCAGTGTGTAACACCAGAGAGACGTGCAAAAGCAAATCGGATCACTACTGGGTGGTCGGTGTACATGAGAACCCTCAGCAGCTCAGGTGAACTCTCTTCTCCACCTTCCTGTCTGTCTCTTCCTGTCGGCTGGGACTGAGAGTAGTAGTTGTTGTTGTTGTTGTTATATGTTGTCTCGTCTTTTTGAAATATTTGGGCTGTGCCTCTGGGTTTTTGCTTGTTAAAAAATGATGTTTCTGGTTTTGATAATTAGACTTGACATGATATTTAATTGTATGGTAGGAAATAAGGTTTTATAAGCACTTAAATTATTTAAATTACAAAATAGGTTCTAAAGGAGCATACCAGGAGTAGATTTGTTTTTAAATGCAATTGCCACCTTCTAGGTAGTTGTTGGTTCTCTTTATGCTTTAAGAATCAACTTGCAGTGAGCTTGAACTGAAGCTTGCTTGCTCAACTAAAACTTGCTGCCTGAAAGTTTTGGTGTAAATCTAAAAACTGACAGAATGCTTTGAAAATCTGATCTCTCTCTCTGTTCTTGTCCCATTAGGTGTATTCCATGTAAAGGCTCCAGATACCCTCCCACCCTGCCCAGACCTGCTGTGGCCATCCTGCCCTTCAAGCTGCCCCTATGTCAGACCACCACAGAGAAAGGACAGATGGAGGTAAACACACCTGAGATGACGTTCTTTGACACAATGTAACCTGATTTAATACTTCACTAGTTCAAAACTTGCTAGTAGTTACTGAGAACTTAATCACAGGAAGAATTTTACATTCAGACTTGCTGGTGCAACCTAAACCAGATGTGCCACACAATCAGGCTTTCTAAGAGAGGATTGGAATACTTTCTCATCTAAAAGACGGTTCAATATTAACAATAACTGTCAGACCAGTAAGGTTGAAAAGGGAAATTAATGTTAAATACAATAAATGTAGCAGCCCTGTTCTCTAAATATCGGCATCGGCCATTGAAAAACCCATTTCGACCGATCCCTAGTACAGTTTCCATTCAGCCTGCCGTCCTCTGTCGTCCTACAGGAGCAGTTATGGCGTTCAGTCCTCTTCCACAACCACTACAGCTTCCTGTCCTCCAGCGGCTACGAGATAGACGAGGAAGGACAGAGTCGGTCCCAGAAGGAGCAGCAGGAGCTGCTCATGAAGATGTTTGCAGTGAGTAAGAAAACGCTTGCTCACGCTTCCTTTACTTCGTGTGTTCAGATGAATAAAATGAGTCCATGTTTTCCTCCAGTTGTCCTGTAAGCTGGAGAGAGAGTTTCGCTGTGTGGAGCTGGCAGAGCTAATGACTCAGAACGTGGTGACTCTGGCCATTCGATACGCGTCCCGATCCAGACGCCTGGCCCTCGCCCAGCGGCTCAGTGAGATCGCCCTGGAGAAAGCCAACCAGGTCCAGGAAGAAGAACCAGAGGAACCGGAAGAGGAGCCAGAATACTCCAGACGGACCTCTGGGTAATGCCAAACTGCATCTGTCCCTTTTTTAACTGTTGTAGTAATGTTTTTATCTTTATATAACCAGTGCTGACCTGTCTGCTCTCATCCAACACGTTTCACTACGTTGACCCTGTTGCTCTGTTAGGGATTCAGGGCTAGAAAAACCTGATCTGAGTTGAGTTGAGTGTGATTCCTGAGTTCATTATGTGGACAGGTACGGTCAGAGTGAGGTCACAGGAGGACGCTGCAGCAACAGACGTTATCAGGAGGAGGAGGAGCAGGAGCAAGTGGAAGAGCTCGGGGAGGAAGATGATGGGCAGGAGATGGACACAGAGGAGGCAGCAGAAACCAGAAAACGTCAGTTCCACCTTTTTTCTTCAGCTGTAGTCGCACATTTAGGCACAAGATGTCAATAATAACTAACATGTCTGATATGTCTGTGTGTGTCTCTTATTTTGAAGGAGGGAATCCGTTTGCTAAAGAAGCAGGTTCACCTGTGAAGCCGTCTCTCACACCAAGTGAGTAAACGTGAAAGTTAGGGGCATGATTTATTATATTTAAATAAGCATTTAATTTTTTTCTTTTTTTTTTTTTTTGCAGTTGGCAGAGTTGCACGTGCAAATCCTTTCAAGGTAAGAACTACAAATATTTTGATGGCATCACTTTTTGATTTCTACGGAGCCCCCAAAGTTATGACCAGTATTCAAAAGTATTTTTAGATATTTGATGCTTTTATTTTCTAAAGAGTAAACAGGACTTTGGGGGCTGCGTAGATTTCTAATTATTTAGAAATCAACATCCAAAAAGAGTCCAGACAGACGGACATGTTTTAGTGGAAGGATGGTAAAGGTTATGGTGGGATACCTGCAGGTGCTCGGCACAGGAAAACCCTCGGCGCCGTCCGGTCAGCCTCGAGTGACAAACATCCTGGACAACATGACGTCCAGCAAGAAGTCTGCACCACTCAGATCAGCAGGAAAACCAAACAAAGACCCTGTCCTCAAACCGCTGGCCCCCAGAACCAAGACAAAGGTATCATCAACTTAGAAATACTCAAAACATACCAACAAATGGTTGTAAGTAAAATAAGTTTGGAGGTAAGTGTTTACTCCTTGTGGTTCTCTGCTTATTCTTTCCCTCTTTTCTCTCCAGACTCAGTCCACTCTGCTGCAGATGACTGGCACTAAGGCGTCCAGTAAGAAGACTCAAGCGAACACGGAGCCGGCTGCAGAGCAGCAGAAACAACCTGACATGCCGCCTCCAGCCTCACCTGCAGATAACACCGAAAATAAGAGGTGAACGATGGAATTGTCTTACCCTGAAATGACTCTGCTGGAAGCTACAAGGTAGACTGACGTGTTGTTATTGACTGTGTCCGTTCAGGCCGAAGACAGGATTCCAGCTCTGGCTGGAGGAGAACAGGAAGACTATTATAGCTGATCACCCAGACCTGGAGGAGACCGACGTCATCAAAGAGGCCATGGGTCGCTTCAGGACGCTGTCGGCAGAGGATAGACTGGTATGAAACACTGAGGGATTCATAGAGGAGGGTGTGGGGGATATTAAAGGTATAGTTGAGTTCAAAAGTAACTCCAGAATACACTAGGGATGTGTCGACTAGACCTTCAAACGTTGCTACCCTCCCTAGTTGGTTAGAGAAATATATAAAATTAATATTCTTTTAATGTAGAACTACATTGTTGCAACAATAACTGGTCGTTAAAAACCAGCGAGAGGGAAGAGCGAAAAAGATGGCAGCTCATAAGAGCAGCGCAGTCTGTTGGTGTTTTCATTTGTGTTTTCAGGTTGTGTCAGAACGACCACACTGAGTATGGTGGACATAAAGAGAGCAGGGAACAAATCTTGGAAATGTTTTGTTAAAATTACAGTTGGATCTTTCTAAGATATTATTGGCATTACCCTTAAAACAAATTATAAAAATGTGTTAAAACAGGTTTTTCAGACACCTAGAGTAAAAGACATGGATAGTTTGTATTTGTTTTTAAAGCTTATGATGTCTCAGAGTGGTAATATGTTGTAATATTAGTACCTCTATAACTTAAAGATTTATATGGATGTACAATCACCATTAATGGTAAATTAAAGCTATTTCTTGGTTACACTGAATAACTGACTGCATTTAACACTGATTGGACATCCCTTTATGCCTTTATATTCACACTGTCTGCAAATCCAAAAACAACATCTGCTGCTGATTCCACTTCCATCATTTGTTCATCACGTCTGCTATTTGGTGTCAAATGCTAGAAGAGGGACTTTTCTTTCAGATTTACTGTTGTCATGGATAAGTAGATGGATACATTTACACTTTTATTAGTCAACTAACAAAAACCACAAACCTACCAGGAAACTATACAGAGTGAAGTGGTAGTATACGATATCACACCGTTCCTTCGTCTTCTCCCTCAGAAGAGATTTAGGTGTCTGTTTATCTGTTTTCAGTCCATCTCGCCCGGATCTAGTTCTCCCTGAAGAGCGAACTGAGAGCAAAAACCCAGAGAAACCCATCAATTAGAGTCTGTAAGACAGTGGTGATTATCAGCTGCACATCCCTCACTGTGCTACCCCAGCACTCGTCTCTGCACTCAGATGTTCGGGTCAAATCCTCTTAAATCTCTTTAAAAAATGATATTTATATATATTGCTTAATAGGAGACATAGTTGTCGATGAAATAATTAATATTATATATATACCCTTAAAAATTGTCTATGAAAGAGCAATTTGCTGTGTTCACGTATGCTTTAAAATGAGTTTTCTGTAGAATATCATTTCTTACAAGGTCACGAATAGTGGAGAATCCCAGTTTTCGTCTTACTCATGGTGTGTAAGGGTTTGTCTAGAGCAGTTATGGTCTTACTTGTACCTGACAAAGAGCTTTAAGACCTTTTTTAACTAGCGCGAATAGAAGTACAATTAACTCCTAAACCCTTTTGCATAAATCACAGCGGCCAAAGTATAGTGTAAAACCAGTACGGAACGATGTGGCCGTGCTTCCTAGCTGTATATGACAATAAGTCCGACTTGAGTAATTGTAAGTTACGGGGATCTGAAACGCCATCTTGTACAACATAAAATAGGACAATTGATCTAAAAACTTTTTGTGCTACAAATGGCACCTCTACATATTGTGAGGATGCACTGTAGCTAAGTCCAAGTAGTGAAAACCTCTGTTCTGCCACAGAGCACTGTGGCCCTACAGCTGACTTTTGAAATTGATGCCCTGCATAGTTAGGCAGCACCTGCAGCACCCCCTTAACCTCCGTCACAGGATCTTTTCACAGATTTTCACTGTAAAAAAAATAACCAAGATTTTTAAAAACGCCGCCACTGCAACTGTCCAATCAATAGGGAGAAATGATGAATAGATGAGCACACCTGCATCCTTTCCATCCCACCTGGAAGCGTGCTGAGATAGGAATAGGTCAACGAGTGCTGTGCGCTTGTGTGAGTAGCCGGCGTCGTGAACGCCTGCATACGCCATCGGTGGACTCTCAACAGAAGAAGCTGGGAGTGCGTGACACTCAAGACGGAAGAAAAAGAGGAAGTGGATGTGGAGGGGGAAGGGGGATGGGAGCCTGTTGCCTGGGGAACCCTGTCAACGTGTGTGTGGCATTGTGAGGCACAAAGCATTGATCTTATGGTGATACTGTGTGAGAGACGGTGAGCTGGTCAATCTCCGGGGTGACCGCCGCCGGCGGGGTTGATGATACAGTTTCAGTTCATTTCTTCAGCGAGGTTTGCTGATTTTTTTTTTTTTTTCTTTACACACTTTATCAATTCTGACAGATTTTTTTAATACAAAATTCTCTTTCAAAAGTTTCAGAAATGAGTTCAAAGATCTCGGACAAACTGAACACAAGGCGATAAAATGGTAATTGTTGGAACATTTCTTTGGCCTGTTTTTTAGGATTTTCTCAAAGAGGCATTTGGTCTTTTTGGGGGGCTAGTGTAGCCGGTATTGCTCCATTCGTAGTCTCCATTGGTACATTTGCAGAATTAACAGTGTTGAC